GCTACATGGAGGGAAAGAAGGGGCACTACAATGGGAAAGGGACTAAATAAAATTGCCACTGGGCAGAAGCACAGAAAGAACTACAAAAATCAGGGATGCTTTTCCAGGGACCAAAGGTCTTAAAAGTAGCAGAGAGCTGAGAGTTCATGTAAAGATGGGCAAGCCACCTCTTGTGCCGGAGAAGCTGGAGAGAGAAACAAAAAGGTGGTTTCCATGACTGCAGGATCATCATTCCAGTGAGCAGAAACTGAAAATCAAGAAGAACAAGAGTCCTGGAGGTAGATGGAACGATTACACTTAACATGGAAAGACTATGATGCTCATTTAGAGATGACAGTGGAAAATGCTTAATTGTAAGGGCTAACTTCTGAATGTGACTTGCAAACTTTAGCTGCTTCACTTCATCAGTGATGTCATTAATAGGCTAACTGGCAGGTTTTAATATTTTCGTACTGTTAATCCCAGTTTTCCATTGCATGACTTTGCTTGTATTTCTTTGCCTGGTTCTTTACACTGATTTTTGGCCAAGAACTATTGTTGTTAACTCACAGGTCACTAAAGTTTAAAATTAACAGGAAAAAAATATGGAGAAGGGATATGTGACATCACTGACAATTAAAAGATTCTTGGTGCATTCTGAGAAAAATTTCAGGTCAGACAAAACAGGAAGCAGAAAAATGGACTTTCATACTTAGGTCAACTAAGTTTTATGCAGAAAGCAGAGTTAATTATCACAGCTTTTTTGATCCCAAAGCTCCCTGTTCTCACACTGACTGAATTAGTGAATTACATTTGTAACAGGTCTTTTATTTACCCAGCAGGGAAGGGCAGTGACTACCTTAGTTTTCTTGTGCCTACCCAGCATCCTTGCCTTGTTCAGTGAAGCCACCTTGAATCCACAAACTACCTTTTCTTGCCTTAGCAATGAAATCAAAAGTGTGAAAGCAGCAAGTGAAAGGGTAAATGCTATAAAAATAGTAAAACAATAACAACAAAGCCCCCTCTAGTTTTTCTCTGAGGTTTTTGTTTAAGAGCAGAAACAAATCTATTTAAGATACAGTATATATTATAAGATGCTCCTAAGTGTAAGGATGTCTCCATTAGAAATACACTTAACATGCTACCACAAGTTATCAATTTTCAACTCATTTGCTAAAAACCAAATATAATCACCAATAATGATTAGACCTTGGTCTTTGAAGGATGTTAATAGTTAAAAAAAGAATCCTCTGCTGCTACATTCAGCCTATAAAGGATTACTCTTTTATTAGTGTAGCTGAGGGATTAGTAGAAATGTTTGTCTAATGAATGCAGCTGCTATATTTAAGCAAATGCCTGAATAAGCTACTTGTTGATTGAAACCTATCTGTTTATAAGTACTTCTGAATGGCGCAAAAACCATCTGTATTGCACTATTGCAATGGATTTTGCATAACAGTAAATATTTTATCCTATTCACATTATGAAATTCACCTCGTTCCCCAGTTTAATTTCTGAAACATATAATGTAAAATTTACAAGATGGATTTATCTACATCTGGCCTGATTTGCTTATGATTTTTTAGCTCAAAAAAGAGTGTTATTAGTTTAGCTATTCTCAACAGGGGATAGGCACATCTTTCATATGCACTTGTGTACATAAAACAGAAATGCAAATTAAAGCACTTATTTAAGTGCTATCCATGTCTCTCTTAATTCAAGGTAACCATCACAATTTTGTAACAAAAATAATTCCTAAAATTCCACTTTGTTCATTCTTCAGCCTTAACACAAAGTAAATTCTATTACTATTTGGATTTCAAATACTTCAGAAATTGATCAAACCACAGTTTTGTAATGGCAAGCATCAGTGGAAATCTCTAATATCAATATAAAAGATGAAAATAACATGTTAGGATGCATCTGTTAATGTGTTTTAAGCCATAAACCAGTAATAAAATGCTCTCTGGAAAACAGAGCTGAAAAAAAATAAAGCAGAAAGTTCAAAGTTAAAGCAGACAGTGTTGAAAGGTATTTCGTGATGAAAGCACGTTGTGTTTTGGTTTTGCCTTTTCTGTTTGTTTGTTTTATACGTTTTTTTCTCTGAACTACAAGGAACATTCACAAAGTCTCTAGTTATTGCCTGTTACTAAAAAATTTGAATGATCCATGTTCAGGCTGGTATTTAGGCCTAACTTTGTCAAATCTGAATAAGACTTTGAAAATAGGGACTTTGAATGAGTAATGTAGGAGAGAGAAAGGCTTTGTCTGGTTTTCTGAGTGCTTAGCACATTGACTTCTGAAGTCAGGTGCCTTTAAAGGTTTCCTCAACAGTGCACCTGAAATCACTAGTAATTTTTGAAAGGGAAGACTCATTCCTGTAGTAAGCACTTACATTAGTAACAATCAGGCTAGAAATAACACATACAGGAGAAGGCTGACATACGTTCCAGTCTCTGTGATGCACGCTGCTTTCATGAGTTGTACTTTCCTGTAATGTGCCTCTTACACCTTCAGAATTAACAAGTCTTTGTATGACACCAGAGTATGTGCATGTTTATAAACGCATACATATATGTACACGTGTGTACATACATACACACCAAATAAACAAAAATAACCATTAAAAAAAGTAAATTTTGAAACACAAAGCACTTAGTTTGAGTAATCACACTGAAAAAACTCTATACAGTTGATGGTAATTCTTTCCTCTTTAGAACAAGATTTTCCTATAAATTTCCACTTTTTTTAAAGTTCAGAGAGCACAAGTGGTACACTATCAGCTGTTGACTTTTTCCTGTTTTATATGCATTTCTGGTACAGAACTCTGCATGAATGCAGACAAAGAGAAGTTAAATACTTGTATGTTATTTTAATTTGTGTTACTCTGGAAATAGCTGGAGGTTTTTTTAGCTTCCTTTTATCCCCTGAAATACATGATATCCATCTGTATTGTGACACATATAGTCACTGATATTGAGACAGAAATAATAAGTCAAAACATTTCAAAATGACTTCATGCCTTCTTGGACAGTACTGCTCCAAAGCAGGAAAAAATTAGTATCTGTTGGTTTTTTTCTGCCTTATTTTGAAAATATTAGAGGTGTAGCTTTAACAAATATACACACATATCCAAAAGCTAAACTTGTAAATGTACCCTCTATATTTATAAGCCATACACCATTTTTAGATCTGAAAAATTATTCCAAGATTTCACTTACATGAGTGATGGGATGAGAGCTGCCTGCCTTTCTGAATGTACCAGTCAGTGTAGTGGAAGGAACACGGAAGATGATGTGACATGGAAAACAACATTTACTGGCATTTATTCTGGGCCTGAGTCAGCATTACATCACTAGCCAAAAGAACATTCACTTCTGCTCATTAGTAATGTTCCAACCCAAGTAAACCTTTTAGCACCACACCTGGCTGCATATGCTTCCTCTGCAGAGACACAGCCCTTCAGGTTAATCAGGAGATACTCCCTGAGTTCCAACCACCAGTGGCTGAGAATACATCATAGGTTGAACCATATTAAGTCAAAGACATAAAAACAAACCCTCTTAGGCTGTAGAAACAAATTATTTTTCATATACTGTACTTCCTTCAAGCTTTATTGGCTTAATACTCATCTTCAGACCCTTGAGACAATTGCTTTCCCTGTCTGGATAGGCAGAAGTTGAAAACTGGACTCATTCTCCTCCCTTTCTGAGCCATTTCAATGAAGAAAAGCTTTGGAGAAAACTCTCGTTCACTAGTAGGCAAACCTGTTGCTAAGGTAATTTTTGTGGGAATCTCATACTAAAATACTGGCAGCAAATAATCTATTCTCCATTCTAAAAAGCCTTACAAGGATACAAAGCTTTACAAAGGTGTCAGGATGGTTTCCTGTTTCACAGACCAAAATAACAGCCTTTTAACTGCTACTTCAAATCCAATTAACTTTTGCCTTCTGCCTTTCTCCTCAGGGTGAGTATTCTTGCCATTTAGTAATAGTATAATGACTGTACCACAGATAGTACATACCCAGAATATAAATAAGCACATTTTTGGAGACTGTATTAGTCTCATACATTAAGAGTGAGCCAAAATCATGACAAGTGAGGAAACCTGTTTTGCACAGGTTTCTGGAAAACCCTGATAAAAAATACTATTTTAAGAAGAGCTGTAGCAACGGTGCTTAGAAGTGAAACAATGGAAAACAGTCTAGATTAAAGTAACTTTTTCAGATCTAGTCAGATTTTAAATTAGATTGCAGTTTTATTGCTGCCTCACCAGGGAGAAGCCCCTACGCCTGTACAATGAAGTGCTAATCTGTTGTCAATGGGCACAGGTTATGTATTTTTTACTAAAATAATACTGCTTTAAGTAATAACTGTGGGTCCTAATAAAGCAAATAACAAACAAAAAGGGATAAATTCCTACTCTCGGGACCCTACTCCTACTCCCCTGTAAGCAATTAATACCAAAACAAAACCAGAAGGTGGGTGGCCCTGCAGCAGCTCCCTGGCCTGCCCCACATCCCCCCTTCCCTGCATCCCCCTGCTCCACCATCAGGGCCT